TTGAATGCATACAATAACGATGGAAAAATGAGCCCATTAAATGAATACATAAACTTAATGGAAAGGAAATGAGGCAGATATATAGAAATATGGATGAAAGTCATCTTAAATGACTTACCAAATAATAACTTCAATATCCAAGAAAATAATCAATAACAAACAAAATATGAGGATACATAAAATCGACCTCAAATAGCTCCATTAGTTTGAAAAAGACTAATCAAGAAGAAGAAATATAAAAATAAAATTAAGAGAAATAATAATGTCTCCTTTTAGAGAGAGAATGGCCCACTCATATCTTATATCTAGAAACTTGGACCTGAAAGATGGCTCATTTATACCCCCTCCCCTTTCTGTCTCTGCCTCTCTAACTTTTTGCAGCTTAGTGCTTCCTTCCAGATGAAATTAAAAAGAGAGAATGACCCAAGATATCAAATAAAGATGCCTTTAGGCGATCAAGGGGTTATGTGAGAGAGAACTCATTAAGAAAATAGAAACAAAGAAAAATAAAGTTTAGATTATGTCGGTTCTTGAATTTGTCCTCCAAGGAGGGTTATACCAATTGACTTTGACGGGAAATTTTGCTATAAAATAACAAAGAGATGGGAGTCATGCTGAAGAAGAGCTACTAAATGCTTTTTCAAAATCTTAATCACTCCATAGCTTCTCTGATTATTAAACTCCAATATAATTCTTTTATACTAAATTCTAGACTACTCTTCCCCTAATCACCTCTCACATTTACAATGACGCTTGGGAATAAACTGACGTGGGGAGGAAACATTGAAGAAGATGGCTCCAAAGAGCAAGAACACCGAAAACAGTAAATACTGTTTAATTCCAAAAATATTCACTCCCCCACTGTTTGAGGAATATTAATTTAGAATGATGCGGTGCATCTTAACTAAATGCACCTTTAGGAATAAAATATTTTTTGTATCTATTTACTAGGAAGTTCTATGACTATTTTATATAGAAGTAGGAAGATTTATGAAGAATATTTTTTGAAATTTATCAATATTTACAGTTCTTGGTGTTCTTGCTCTTAAGACCTATCTTCTTCAATGTTTTCTTCCCACATTAGTTGGTATCAAAGCTATAACTTCTGAGAGACCTGGATAAAGGAAGCTACTTCAACCCTTAATGGCGATCGGGGTTTGGATGTTTTGGGGAGACCTTGGATGAAGGAAGACATACAACCCTTGACGACGATCGGGATTTGTTTGCTTTGGGGAGACCATGGATGAAGGAAGACATATAAACCTTGACGACGATCGGGATTTGGATGCTTTGTGGGCAGCACAAGCAAGCATCAAAAGACGAACTCCACCAGTTGACAACCATACTGGAGATACGACCTCCATCAACCGGCAATCATACCGACAAATCGATCCAAACCTCTGATAGCCATACCAGCAAAAGACTTCATAAGTTCACTCCTCGACGTTGATCATAGGAGAAGTAAGCCTACAACCATACCGATTGTTCAAATTGAACCTGTCCACGACATTTGGATCAATCAACACAACTGTCAAGCCTGCGCACGCGACTCCGACGTGCTCCCACAACTACACCTCCTTTCGCGTACAGTCCCACTCCAATCCCGCTCGACCAGCCCCGCTCATGTTACGTGCGAATCCGGCTCCACACAACCTGCATTCTGCAACCAGCCCCACTCCCCGACCTTGGATTCCTCAGACAGTGGGGGAGAATGATGCGGTGCATCTTAACTAAATGTAGTTTTAGAAATAGAATACCTTTTGTACCTATTTTCTAGGAAGTTCTAGAAAGGTCTACAACTACTTTATATAGAAAACTACTGTAAGTAGGATGATATATGATGAATGTTTTTGGAATCTAACAATATTTATTGTTCTTGATGTTCTTGCTCTTGGAGCTATTTCTTCAATGTTTTCTCCCCACATCAGAAGTGATAATTTATATACAGTGTCCACTTCTTTGGTTCGGCCATATAAATTACATAGTAACGAAGAAAAAAGAAAACTATCATTTTAAACATGAATTATTTGGGGAGTTTAACAAAAATCACCGCATTACAAAGGTATTATCGGTTAGTGAAACAGTTAACACCAATTTGTTTGACCTGTAATGCAATGGCAAGTACCACTTTCCTATTTCTGAAACTGGTAATAAAAAAGAGCAAACCTCGTCTCAATTTGTTGACAAGCAGTTCAACTTTTAAGAAAAAAAGCAATGAAAATACATGCTAGTTGGAATTTTACCTCTTTCTAAGCATTGCTGATAAAGAAGACGGTTAGGCTAAGCATCTAAACTACATAATGAAAGAAAATAAATTAGAATTTACAAACAATTACCGGCAATAATGCACTTCATTCCAAATAATTCATATGAGTTCTTCTGTGCTATGATGAACAAATTCACACTAAATATTTGGTTTTAGTTATTTGAAACTTAATATTTTGGTAGTTTATATTTTTAATTTGTAAATAAATGTTTACAATGATGCCATTGAGAAGCAAATGCGTTACCTATTTTATGACTTCCCCTAATCTCACCTCTCATAGTGTTTAATTGGTATGCATTCCTACGAATTATTTGGAACTGTCGTTCTCTGCTTCGGAGGTTTTTTGGGTACCAATCCTGGAGCAGGTTACGATTCTAGCGAGCTTCTGTGGGTTTTGCTTGTTGAATGTTGAGTTCTTCGAGTTCAATTTAACTACAATTATTATTATTATTATTTTGGGGAGGAAGTCATCCCCTTACATTAGTAATGAGGCCTAAATTCTCTCTATGTGATGAATTCTCATCACTTTCTATCTCATCTTTATAATTTATGATCATGCGTGATTGATTTGATCTAAAACTAGTACAGCTAGCTTTTCTAATTACGATTTAAGGCTTCTTTTGGGATGATTTTCTTACTGCTTTCTAAAGTAGTTTTCAAGAACAAAAATTTCTTGAAAGCATTGAAAAAATAGTGGCCAAAAGCTGCCCCAAACGAAACCTAAGTCTCGATCAAATAATGAAATTTTGAATTTCACGAAATCTCTATAACTAAGACAATTATTAAATTATCATGCGCTGAGGATTTGTTGTGTTTTTCAGTTTAAATAAAAAAATGATGAATTCATATGTTATTGATGAACATTGGAACTATAAATTTCAAATCCGATTTATGTGATTTCTAACAATGCATCATTTAATTGCATTCATAATCCCAGAATTTGAGAAGCCCTACATCACTTCTCTGTAGAAGTAAGATTGAAGCAAGGACAATCTGGGCATGCTTCATTATAAATGGGACCAGCTAAAGCCAACAAAATGACAACATGCGTTCTCAACCAAGATCAATTTATTGTTAGTTTTTGTTTTTAAATTTATTTCAAGTGTAAAAACATGCTTATGGAAGACGGATAGAGATGAGGAGCATCTCTTCAGTCGGCTGCTTGTGTTCCTTCGTTAGGAAAAACAGAGCAAAGAACAGAGAGGAAGGAGTGCTCAGGGAAAAACCATCATGTTGTATTGAGAATGTTTCACATATTTGTAAACAAAAGTGTAATGAGTGTATGTGCATATGGCAGGTGTCGGTTATAGATGAAGGTGGAGATTGATTTGTTTGTTTTCACGTAGAGGTTATGATTAAAAGCTGTAAAAGTGGTATAGATAAGGTGGCTTGCTAATTAACATATGTGCTTATCATTTGTGATGTCGGCTCTCATATAAATAGAATGTTTTCCATTGTACTTTGAAGAATCTGTTACAAATAATCATTATTATAAGATTTTTATTAGACTTATTATGTTGTCACATCAATATTACTACATGTGAATTAAATTTATAACAGGAATCCATAGTATTTATTATTCTAATATATCCTTATTATTGATGGTATTCTCTTCTACTAAAATTTTCATATAGCTCTCTTCTTGTCTTTATATAGACATCTTTGTACTTGCACCATAATTAGTAGAGTAAAAAAATAGCCTTTTATGTTTTCTAATGCGGTATTAGACCAGACATTAAAAAAAAAGTGTGTTATGATTTCAAGTAGATTCATTGTTGAACTCAGGGATTCATTGAGTGCCTAGTTTCCTTCCTCAATCATCTTGTTCTCTTCCAAAATGAAGAAAGTGAACATCTTCTTTGCGACCTCTATGATTGTCACATCCTCATTCATTTTCTCCCCCTAAAACTATGGATAGGTTAGAAGTGGAGAGACTTATAAGTTTGCTTCAAAGTTTGATGGATAAGTCTTATTGAAATGCTGGTTTTGGCGCACAAATGATGGGCAATTTGGGAACGATATTTGAGATTATTCACACCATAGGTTGATTGTTTTTATTTCTCTTTCTTCTTTTACCTTCTATAATTGAGATTTCAATTCTGAGGTCTTGCTAAAAATTGCTAATTGGTGAGTAGGGTGAGAGAAATACAAGTTTTGGTTAGAAATTAGAGGAAAAAGCTTGAATGTTGAATGAAAGATAGGTTTGTTTTCGTTAAAAAAAAAGGTAATACACATGATGAGTTCGATGGATGAAGGTGAAGATAAGGTTGACAATGTGAACGATGATCAAGATGACATTTATGAAGAAAAAGACGATGACAGAAGTTGCTTGAACAATAGTGATAGTACTTACATGGCTGCAATTAATTGTTGCAGCAACAGTTGCAAAGCTTTCGGATAAGCTTGAGGTGAGGAAAGTGCAAGAAGTTCTAAGGAATTTCCATGCTCCCTGCTAATAAGGTTCTTCGTTACCAAGAAACATAATACTAGCACACTTTTTTCCTCACTTCACTTCATATAAAAGTAGCAAAAATCCGTCACTACTAACTGAGTCAATCTCATCATTCAACATTTTGCCAAGTAGCACCTCACAAAATATAACAGATCTCTCATAAAACCACAAGTCTACAACTAACAAAAGTCTCAGAACTGTCATCGAGGCCTACTTTATTGAAATCCATCACAATTCGCATCACCCAACCAAATACAATCTACAGTAATAAAAGCCAGTAAATCAATTAGACAAAAAAAATCTTTTTTTCTTTTAGATTATGACGTTCTAGTTACATTCAATTCCGCTCAGAAAACAAAAATATTCAGCCAACAAAAAGAAAATACAGCAGCAATTACATAAGCTCGAGCAGCACTTTTAACACAAACCTACGCATTGGAGGCGACACCATTACTTTCCTCCTCGAGCTTCTGCACATACGCCTTAAGCACCATCACAAGCTCCCTCGCTGGAGCCTGCAGCGTCCCAATAATCCCAATCGACGGCGACTGCAGTGACCCAAGTAGCTTGGCATAGATCTCCGCCCTGCTCGGCATCGTCTCCAAAAACCTAAATTCCTCGGGCCCATAAAACTTCCCCTCAAACACTCCACCCACGAAATCATTCTCCTCGAGCTTCTTCTCCCTCTGAAAGCTTCGGTACGGTTTGAGAGCTTCAGGTATCTCCTCTGTGTGCACGAAGAGCCAGGCGTTCATCCCCTTCATGCAGGGCCTAAGCAGCTCCCACTGAGTGCCCTCGATAGCCTTTCCAACGAGCGTGTTCTTGGCAACGAGGAGGTGGACCGAGTCAGGGAGCAAGCGGCGGAGTTCTTGGAACTGCTTTACGGTGAAGCCCTTGAATCTGATTCCAGCTAGAAGGTGGCAATTTTCGAGCCGGTTCTTAACGGAATCGACTGTTTCTTCTTTCTTTGTGCGGCTAATGGCGGCGCGGATAACCGGGAGGCGGCAGCGACGGGAAGGGGAAGAAATGGGAAAGGTAGGTACAGTGTGTGTTCGGGTTAGGGTTAGGGTTTGGTTGGATTGGGATGGTAGGAAGGAGGAGGGGAAACGGATAGAGGCCTCCATTTGGAGCAGCGGAGTGTGGAGTAGGATGGATGAGAGTGATATATCCTTATCCTTTGAGAAAGAAGGGCGTGACTAATTTTGGGGTATTTATATATATGGCATTCAAATTTTTGTTATTTATAAAATTAACATATTTTATTTTATTTTTATTTTTCAAAATATCAGAATTAAAAAAAACCTTAATAAGCATTGGTAATAGGAAATTTGTTTACAAAAAATCTTGTTTTTCAAAATATTTTATTTAAACAGTTTATTTTACTATTCATTTTCTTCATGAATGTGACCAAATTTATTTTATTTAGTGAGAAAAGTTTAATTTATATGTCACATAATATTTGAAATTGAAGAAATATGTTTGTTATTTTATTTTATTTTTAAATATGCTTGAAAGACCCCATTGAATTAAAATACTCTCGCTATTAAATAAATTGACAAAACACGAGCTTTATCTCTTCTTTCTCTATTTATGGCAATTCTAGAATGAATGTCTTTGAAGATTAATGATATTTTCGGGTCAAAATTCATGACGATTATCCCCCCTAGTCATCATATTCGAAGATTAATGATATTTTTAGTTTATATTTTAGGGTTGAAAATAAGCTTCACACTCTAATCCTAAATCCCTTGGCCATTAGATGTAAATATATGTGCTAGTTATCAATTTAGAGCCATCATCCAACCAAATGTTCCATTAGAATAATAGTTATGGCTTCGTTTGGGACGGCTTTATTACTCCTTCTTAAAGCAACTTTTTAGATTTTTGAACTAGAAAATTGCTTTAAGAAACAGTAAAAAAGCCCTCCCAAACAAAGCCTAAATCACTATTGAATAATCTCAATCATTTGCAGAACATGTGTGAAATTTATTTGATTATATTTGAAAATGATCGACACATTTTAGTCTTGTATGAACTTATTCAAACTATTGATCAAAACAATGTTTGAACCTTTTTAAAGACGATTGATAAAGATTCAACGAAGTTTCAATCAAGAGTTCAAATAATTTCGATCATGATTAAAATGTGTTGAAGTTGATTCAAATATTGTTAAACAATCAATAAGATGTTTTAGAATTTACTCATTCAGAGTTCTTCTATCATATATGCAAATGTATGAGCTAATCCTACCAATTCATAGGCATTACTCGACTCAGGTTACATATAAAACCATGAGAAGGGGGTATTATGGAGAAGCTCCATATGAAATTTGAGACTAATAACCTTATTGCCTAAACCGAAGGATCTCCCTTTAGGTCTTTTATAGAGCTCTTGAAATGCAATTCTTCGATGTTCTTATTCATTAATGATTATTGATGAGGGTTGATGAAGAAAAAAAAATACTACGTACTCTATTGTGTTTAATGAGGGTTGTAGATGGCATCGTGTGTATTATGAGGTATATGTAGTTAGAAAGAATGCCTTAATCCAATGCACTATAATTAGATATGTAGTATCACTATAGTACTAGACTTAGGCTTCGTTTGGGACGGCTTTTTTACTGCTTTCTAAAACGGAGTTTTAGTACAAATTTTTTTATTTTTGTACTTAAACTCCGTTTTAGAAAGCAATAAAAAAGCCGTCCCAAACAAAGCCTTACGAAATAATTCTATTAGTGGGGAAGATAAGTGTTGAGCTTTTGGGGTTGGAGTATCAAGGATGCAAAGCTGTAAGAGAAAAAAAGGTGCTCACAGGCAAGAATTTTCTATCATGACTCATTAATAAAAATGTAAGTGTTCTTTTTTTTTTTTAATTGTGTAGAAATGTAAAGAGCTGATGGAAGATGTATACAATGTAATAATATTTTTTTCCTATCCTTGTTTTTCTCAAGGAGTTGTCCAACCTAAGTTGTTATATAGAGCAAATGCAGAGGACTTATATATATCCATTATACAAACTCCTACTTAGTCTAACATAATTAAGATTATAAAGAAGAAATCAAACACTAAATTTCTTATGAGAAAATAAGGAATATAACTAGTTAGCTACAAGTTAATTCATCCCATCTCAAGAAGAGGAGATGAAGCACCTTTCTACCATCATTCTAGAGTTTAATGGTAGCAAAATAAGATTGGAGAATTACCAAATAAGATCAGATGTTGTAACCAATCTCTCTCTCTCTCTCTCTCTATCACACACACATACACACATCAGGTAGAAGGAAAAAGAAGAACTAATTTGATCCTACTTATTTGTGATTGCACTACTTTCTATGCTCTTGTCAATATCACTATAAAATATTTATCTTGTTGGAACCTTATTAACTCATATTTTAATAAGTAATTGACCCTTACATCTATAATATCAAATTATCTTTAACGAAAGAATTGAATATATGTTTGATTATGTGTTTGAATAAGTTTTAACTATTTTATAGACTTTTTCAATAATATATTTTAAGCATCTTATATGAACTTGTCAAATACATAACCGGCTATTTGTTCTACAATTTTATTGATCATGCCAAGTTATCTACGGTGAAAGAGTCGAACAAAGATTCAATTAAGTGTTTGAATGATCATTATTTTATAAAATTTTTAACAATATTTTTTAAGCATCTTTTCAAACATATTCAAACCCTTTTATCAAAAAAATTTTGATAAAATTTTGATAAAAGGGTCATACTAGAGATAATTATATTCGAATGTTTCAATTGTTTTATAAATTTTAAAAATAACGTATTAATCATATTCCAATTTTGTATAGCATTTATTCGACAATAATTCATATCAATAGTTGTCTGTGACCAAAAGCATAGATATTTTAGTTGGAAGGAAAATTTGTCATATTTTTCAAAGAAAGGAAATATCAACCATAATTTTTATTTTCTTTTCAATTTCGAGCTTTATAAGATTGATAAACTCAAAATATCCTATTTATTTTATTGGATATATTTTACATTCTATTCCATTTTAATGATATGAAATTATAAGAAAAATTTACATATATTACACTCAAGATATTAATATTTATATATTTAACATATAAACTTCATTATTTATATTCATAATAGATGCTCAAAACATAAAAATAGCTCCTACTTATAACAATCTACTCACTTCATCACCACACAAGATCCCTCCAGCCATCCTTCGCTGTTAGGAGAGATTATTACGAGCGGAGGCTGAACCTAGAGAACCGTTCGATTTTGTGATTGTGAACAATAAAAACGAAGTAGAAGCGCAGTGGTAAATAATAATTGTGTTTTTACTATTCATACTCACACAACCAAAGGATTCTCCATGTCCCGACTCTGTATGTAATAATCTCTCCGTTGCTAGTCTCATCGTCCTTCACATGCTGCTAGTCGCTGTCGATCTTGCTGCCCTTCACATGGAGAAATTATTCTGTGCGGAGGTCGGACGCATCTCTACGTCCGAAAGATAATCAGGTGCAGCTATGTCAATGATACCGTGCATTTTCGAGACCTGGTACCCATATATAACTTTAATATCAAATATATCACTCATATATTTCATTCTATCACTCATACCACCTTATAAACTTTAATATTTCATTTCATGCACCTATATTAGTTCTATGAGTTATAGGCATATAATATTAATATTTTAAGTGTTAGATATATAAATAGCATGAAATAAAATAGTATGTATGTAAATCTTCCTAAAATGTATATTCCATAACTTTTTTCCTAAGTTTCATGGCTTCTTTCACAGCCCAATCTTCCTTGCAATGATTCAAAAATACCTAAAAAAATTGTAGAACCGAACGTTTTCTTAGTCGTTCTATTTCACTGCATATCAGCAAGACCACCCAGTGCTCTGCACCTCAAAAACATCCATTAATTTGTCAATACAAAAACTACATCACCAAGAGCTCTGAAAAATTTTCTATGTAACAAAAAGGCATAAATTAGTTTAAATTACCACCCAATCGTCACAAAAAACAAAGTAACAGTTTACATGATTTGTAGGACAGTCAGCTCGGATTATGACTTCATTTAAAACAACTTTCTTATTGCTTCTCAAAAAGTAACTTTTTATACTAAAATATTGCTTTGAGAAGCAGTAAAAAAACGGTCCCAAACAAAGCCTATATTAGGTGATAAGTTTCTATCGTTCTAGCATATATGCTTGGAGAATATGGATTCAACGACACCTCTTGCAATGGGATGGTAAAACTCACGAGCCTCTGCAAAAATTCTTTTTGCAAGCATCTTCTCTTCTTCCTTGGCATGTCCCTCAACCAGAGTGGTATAAAGTGGACGGAGGTATTTCATCCTTCCCACCTGCTTTAGAGATCTTTCAACCTCGCCAAAGTATTCTTTGCATCCAGCAGAGATCGCCAGCTTAAGGAAAGCAACCTTCACCTCCCAGTCTTGAGATTCCGATAGCCTGTAACGAGCGTCCAGAGCTGCAACCTGTGTTGATCGCACAGAAAAATAAAATAAAATTAATCAAATTTGGAAAACTCGGAGTAAAAACCTTCCTATTGATATAAATGAAATATATAAACTGCTACAAAATCAATATGCCGACGACGATTATTTGGCATATATAGAGAGGAAAAAGAATGGCTTTGCTTGAAACGTTACAACCTGAATATAGAGCAATTATTCTGTGCAGACACTGGACGGAGAGAATCGTTCGGTTTTCTTTCTATTTACAGTAAAAGCACAATCAAAGTATAGTTACTGTAGCAGTTGCGCTTTGACTGAGCTTTTACCAGTAGGCAGAAAGAAAACCGGACGGTTCTCTCCGTCAAGTGTCCGTACTACGTACAAAATAAAAAGTCTTAAAAGGCTTCATTTGAGACAGCTTTCTTACTGATTTTTAAAGTAGCTTTGATTTGGGACAGCCTGAATATTGTTTTGTTTATTTTCTTAGATATAGGCTCCTATTCTCAGTTAATAAGATACAAAATCTTTTCTTCCATACACTGGAGCACAACTAAGCTCTATCCACCATTCACGCT